CTAATTAATCCTCACAGTCTCATAAAACCCTTGTTAGGAGGATGATCATTATTGCTCCCTCCTCATCCCCTATCACCAGACATCTCATTGTCACACAGTCTCTGCGACAGCAGCTGACAGCCAGACTCAGAACTGCAAATTCCCTCCTCAGTCCCAGTGCTCTCCCTAAATGAACCATTTAAACTCTCCTTCCTTTGCTAATCTGTACTCTGTAAACAGTGCAGGGTGGCGGTCACCACACCACTGAATTCCAACCTGTGTGTGTGCGTGCGTGTGTATGCGTGGTACACAGCCTAGACCATCGTGGGGAAAATGTGTTCTTCACACTTCCGGTTACACAACTTGGAGACCCGATAACAGGAAGGGACTCGGACCCCTTTGGCACATCACGTACTACATGAACACACACACACACACACACCACAACCATGGTGATCACTACATACAGAGGGTCGAGGGTGCGATTTGCTGGAATCTTGTTTGTCTTCATGAACAATGTTTCTCCCAAGTCGACCAATTGGGTAATGCCAGTCCCTACCAAATTTGAATTGATGACTCAACTAAAGAATTAAAATTAGCAAGGCAAGAAAATTCCAAATGAGGTGAGAAAGCTGTAGAAATAGTTCCAGATCCTCTAGTACCGAGCCATTCAATATCATTTCTGATGACAGGGACAGAGCTAGGAACATTCAATGTGGGTGTGAGGCTTTTTCATATACAGGGAGACGGGTAAGTATTTTTTTTTTTTTTTGAGGAAAATAAGGTATGAATCAGGAACAGCACATTTGGCTTAACCTCTTTCAGGCTGTAGATACAAAGACAGCAGGCGATGTGCTTCTTGGCTCTCCTGGAGCCTGTTTAGGCCTCGTGGAGCTAAACAATAGTCACAGGTCTACTACTGTTTCGAGCCTGAGTATTACTTGCAGAAAAAAAAAAATAAGATGCAAATGACTCATGTGTTAACAAAAGCATTGTTCTTAAATTCAGTACATGGAAAGAACCAACCAAACAATTGTTGAGAGGCAAGTTTCGTGGTCCTCCCTCCTCCGCCACCAGGTGATAACACAAAAGATTTCTCTGTATCCAGCAAAGCTTTCATCGACTGCTTTACAGCACCCAGAAATTTGCAGTAATTTTCCCAAATAACATAAAATAATTCTAGAAGATATGCCAGGCAGCTCAAAGGCCTCTCTTGTCTCTTGATGCTTCTGGATTCGAAAGCTCCTAAGGAGTCCAGAAGCCCAAGGAAAGAGGCAAGGCCCATCAGGAAGCCTTATCGATATGCACATACCCATGACTGGCTTGGTACCCCACTGCCTATCAATGCGATGGAGGGAAAGCTGATCCTATCTACTAATCAGATCAGCAGGTTGTATTTAACAGATTCAGAGGAACAGAAATTAGCAGATATGGTTTTCTTCTGAGTTTGCCTTATACCTGGAAAAACCAAAACATTCACCTTCTCTTTGCACCTTTTTTTCCTTTCAGCTCTAGAAATGAAACCCAAACTAATTTGGGAAGATGTGTCGTTGGATCTTTATATTGCTGCAGAGTCATCCACTATGTCTTAGAGGGAGGATCCTTGTAAAAAAGCAAACAAAAACAAGTGAAATGTCAGTTTTCCTTCTGCAGAAGAGCTCCCTCCTTTCCACTGATACTTTTTATCTTGATTCTTTCCAAATTTTTGTTAAAAAAAAAAAGATGAAATGTAACAGCTCAGAAGGCAAAGATAATACTGCAAAATCTCAACCAGGGCCCAACCTACAGCTGAATTAAATACTGAAAATCATTCAAGGCATTTTAAACAAAAAGCCTGATTTGGGGGTCACCAGACTGTCTAGTTGCCCCCCACGGTTGACAAATTACAGGCCGCACACAGAGAAAAGAAGAACCTCACGCGAGCCTGGTGAAATGCACTGAGGGTGAAATGGTTTTTGAGTTGTGACCTGTTCCTCCACGAGGAAACCATCCCTCTATTCCTCTTCAAGGGGCTGAGGCTTTATCTGCTGGAATGCATGTGAAGCAGGAAAATATTTGTGCGTTCCAAAAGCTTTCTGACATCTGCTCTGTGTGTGTTTAAAGATAGTGTGGAAAGCCAGATATTTGTTCCTCTCTGACGCCACAGTCCCTGCAAAGCAAAGCGCACAGTAGGCCGGCAGCAGGTGCTGGAGGTGGGACTCTGAAGTTTCACGATGGATCGCGGCTCCGGCCTATGTCTGTCCGTCTCTGCCTGCACTTTTCCCTCTGATTTTTCATAGGTTAGCCATTGGACCCTCGCCCCTTGGGGGGTGGGTAGGACTTTTATTGGAAACAGAGGCTTGGGGGCTGCAGCGACCTCAGCAGGGCACTACAACCCTCCTGTCCCGCCTGGGGTCTGGAGAGAGGGTGGGGACCCGGCTGGAGGCCCAGCTCGGCCACCCCCCATCCAGCCGCGCCCACCTGCTGTCTGGGCACCCTGAGGGAGAGCGGGAGACCTCAGCGTGGACCAGCTGCCCCGCCCGGCGGGGTCGAGCGAAAGGTCAAGGTCAGCGGGGAGGCGGCTATTGATCCGGCTTGGAACGCGAGACAGGGAGCGCTGCAAGACTAAAGGGGGAGCTGTGAGACCAGACATTAACAGCTTTCAGCGCTAATGATGCCCGTGCCAGACGGGCAGAGGCAAAAAGAGGAGACTGGAGCGGCGGCGGGGATCGCTCGTGCCTGCGCCCGGCCGCCTCCCGGGAGAGAAGGAGGCGGGGAGGACGCGGAGAGGAAGGCGGAGGCGCTGGGCGCAGGGGCCAGCGGGGGCCGGCAGGGCAGCCTCTCCCGGGCCGCCGCGAGGTGGAGCGCGCCGCGTGTCCGGCCCTGCGCCCGCGCGTCCGTCTTCCCGCCGTCGGGGCAGCGCGGGTCCCAAGAGGAAGTGCGTGCTCCCCGGGTGGCTTGGGGCCCGCGCCGCCCCCTGCCCGCCACTTCCTGCCGGGGTGGGGCAGGTGCGTCCCCTGCCCGGTGCGCGCGGGGTGGCAGCTGCATCTGGGACCCCTGACCCCCCTCGCGCCGCCCGCCTGCCCGCGGAGTGGTCCTCTTTCTCCCTCCTCCCGGGGGAGGGGGTCTTCCCGCCTCCCCCAGCGCAGGGCCAGGTCCTCATTGCTCACAGTCCATTCCGAGAGTCACGTGTCGCGATTTCGCGCTGGGGGCCACGGGCGGCTCGGGACAGTTGGCGCGCCGCGGCGGCGTTTGGAGTCTGGGTCGGTCTCTGTTACGCTGTGTGCCCTTAGGCAAAGTACTAACCCTCTCTGGACTCCACACTCAGGGCCAGGTCTCAGAAAAAGGGGTAATTGAGCGCCCACATTTAAGAGTACGGGCGGGCGAGCTGAGATGGCCAGTTTAATTTTTTAAGTTTATTAAAGGTGGGTGTAGGCATTTTTTTCTTCTTATTTTGGCCACTTTCCTGGAAAGATTTGCCTTGGTGAGGCAGGATGGGAGGAGAGGAGGTGCTTCTAGACTTTGGACCACGTGGAGGTGGGGGTGCTGCCTGTCCGGCCTGGGGAGGAGGTGCTGGCCGCCTCCACCCGAGGAACTCGGCCAGGGCGCAGTGTGCTCTGATGAGGGGACAGTGGGCCGGCGGCAGAGCTGCTTCTGTCCTTGCCTGTGGGCGCTGCGTGCGAAGTTGTCGGTGCCATCGCCCCACCCAAGGCCTCCAGGATGAACAAAAAGCCCGTGTCCCGGGGGATCAGCCCCCAGGGAGGCGGCGCGCCCGGGGGCCAGAGGGCCTTGCGGGAGCTGGGCCTGGGCGGGGCGCGGTGTATGCAGCCGGGCTCCTCGCGAAGCCCAGCCCTGGGCTGCGAGACCAGAGTCGGGAGTCGGGTCCGGCGGCCCTGCGTGCCCACCCCGAGGCCAGGTCATCAGACTTGAAGTTGGTGGCGGGAGGGGGCGGCGTCGCGGGCGCTGCGGCCCGGCCTTGTGCCCAGGCCAGGGACAGGCCCCCACGACTCCTCTGTCCTCGGCGGCGGCTGGAGATCAAACGCTGACTGGGCAGCTGTGTCCTTCCCAGTCTGACAGGCAATTTCAAGTCCTGTCCTGGGCCGAGGAGCAGGGGGGAGGTGACTTCCAGGTTGCAGTGATTAGTGGGGAGACGGAGAGGGAACCAGGGGACCTCATGGAATCACCTTCTGCAGAGATTGGGCCACGCCTACCTCTGGGTCAGCGAGTCCGAGTCCCTCTCCCACGTGGAGCACCCCCGCGCCTTCGCCCCACACTTTGCAGGGACCCTGGTGTTTGCGGGTGGGGCCTCGGTTTGACCCGTAAGAGTTAATGGGGTGAGGGAGGGCACGGGTTTGCGTGAAAATCCCTTGTGAGATGAGATTTAAATAAGGTCCAGATTCTTGTCTCCCGACCCCTCTGTGCTTCTGTCTCTAACCCTAACCTTCCTGCCCGGTGTGGATGGGACACTAGGATTTGTACCACATACTTTTTGGAAGTTTGAGTCCGGTCTCCCCAATGAAACAAAAGTAAAAGCAACCACTTCTCCAGGCCAGGCAAGCACTTGATCCTACCCTCGGAGTGCCGAGGTTCAGCCTAACCCTTTCCACCGCTCCCGCCCCCCAAGTCCACAGGGTGTTTTTTGGGGGTGGGGGTGGGGGTGGAGACTTGCACTGGTATAGTTTACTTCACTCACACGGCACCCCGCCCCCCTTCTCAGGGGGTCTCGCTCCCAGGAGGCAAGGAAGCTTGGAGAATTTCTTTTCTTTAAAAATACCCTGCCAAGCACCCACCCCTCCGGTCCCCCCACTTTTACGCAGTCAGTGCTTGGGGGGATGAGAGGCGCGCACAAAAGCGCGGTTTGCACGTGTGGCCGGCTCGGGCTGCGAGTGTGCGCACGGGCGAGTGTGTGCGCGCGCGCGTGTATGTGTGTGTGTGTGAGTGTGCGTGCGCGCGCGCGTGTCTCTGTGTGTGCTTTCTTGTTCTCTTCCAGGGTACAATGTTAAAAAGCCACCGCTAGTCGCCCCCAGTGCTCCGACTCTCCGGGTCTTTTTGTCTCTAGTGCAGATTAAACGTCACGTCCGCACTTGAACTTGAATTTTATCCCATTGTACAGAGGCAGCCCCAGCCATAGAGAGACCGAGAGCTCCCGGAGAACCCGGACTCCGCCATCTTCACGGTGCCATCTGTAGCTCCCCGTCCGCGCCCGCACCGACCCAGGCGCACCGGGCAGCGGCCCCTGAGCCCCGCTCGCCCTGGGCCCGCGGCGCCGGGGGAGCGCGGGGAGCGAGCGAGCGCTCGGGGACTCGGCAGCCTCCGGCCGGCGCCGGCCCGCCCGCCAGGTGACCTGGGAAGCAGCCGCGCTTGGAGTCCCCCCGAGCCTCGGAAGGGTCAGTCTCCGAGAAAAAAGCAGGCAGCCCGCAGAACACCCAGAAACAAGCGAGCCGCGGCAGTTTTCCATCGCTTTGGGGTTTTTGAGGGGGCGGGGTGAGGGGGTACGAGACAAGTCCCCAAGTTTGCTTTGCTTTTTTTTCTTTGCTTTTGCTTTTTTCTTCTTTTTCTTTTCTTTTTTTATTTGTTTGCATCCCCCCCTTCCCCCTTCTGGTGGAAGTGCGCTTTTCCACCTCCAAGACCCTGAAAGAAAGTGTCAGGAGCCGGTGCAAATCCGGTTTAAGTTAAAGAAGACATTTAGAAGTCCAAGAGGCCAAGCAGTTTGAAGAAGTGTACGAGATTTTTTTTTTCTTCAAAGAATATATTTTTAAAGAAGCCAGGCAGCCCACGACAAGCGACAGCAGTTATTATTATTATTTTTTGTCTCTTATTTTAGACCGAGAGGTCTTTTTCTTTCCTTTTTCTTTTTTGCAAACAAAACAAAACAAACAAACAAACAAAAACAGCGTAGAAGAAGAAAAAGCAAAATAAAGAAGAGGAGGAGGAAGAGAGGGCAAGAGAGGAAGGGGGGGAACACGCACCAACCCGGGCCGAGGAGGAGGCGCGCGGCGGCGGCGGCGGCTCGGACCCTTTCCTGGCCCCATCAGTGCAGCTCTCCGGGCGATGCCAGAATAGATGCCGGGGCAATGTCCCGCCGCAAACAGGGCAACCCGCAGCACTTGTCCCAGAGGGAGCTCATCACACGTAAGTGTCTGCGGCGTGCGTGCGAGCGAGGGGCCGAGGTCGGGGCTCCGGCCGCCCGGGGCTGGGAACACCGAGCCGGGCGCTCCGGGGCCGGCGGAGGCGGCCGAGCCGGCCTGGAGCGTGGCGGGGGGCGAGGGGCCCTAGCAAAGTTTCTCTGCAGCCGGGGGAGTCGCGGCGCCGCGCAGCCGGAGGCGCCCCGGGCTCGGGGGCCTGCGGAGCCGGAGCCGGGTCCGGGCCGGGCAGGGGGCGCGCAGGCGGCAGGAGGCGCGGGTGTGCGCGCCGAGCCCGGCTGGACGCTCGCCCCTCCGAGCGGCGTGTGTGGCGGCGGCGGCGCTGGTGGCGGGGATTGGAGAGGAGGGGGAGGGGGCCGGGGGAGCGGAGGGGGAGGGGGAGCCTGGAAGTGGGGAAAAGTTGGCGAGCGCGTGGGTCCGCGCTGACGGCGCGGGCGGAGGGGACCCGGGTGCGCTCGGAGCTGGGGGAGCCGGGGCCTAGGGCGGCCTCTGGCTGCCGGCTCCCGGTCGGTAGCTGCGCCCAACCCGGCAGGGCGCCGGCCGCGCCGGTCCTAGGATTCCGCAGCCGCCTTTCCCTCCCCTCCTCTTGCTATTTGCAAAAGAATCCAGCTGCGCGGCTGTTTGCCGGGCTCCAGCACCCCCTCCCCTCCTCGTTTCCCCACCTCCGTCTCCTGGGACGATCTTGTCCCCCCCCCCCCACGCCAAAAGGAAGAGGGGTGGGAGAGAAAGGTGGAGGGATTGAAGTTGGTGAAAAATCTACGCCATGTGTAAAAAAAGCAAAAAAAAAAAAAAAAAAAAAAAGATTGACAAGTGGGAGCAGAGAGATGCGCTTGTAAAATAGTAAAGATTTAAAAAAGAAGAAAAACAGAGATATCCATCTTTTATCTGTCTTTCCATCTCAATATCGCTCATCTTCCTATCTAAATAAACAAGGCAGGGCGCAGTGGCGATCCACTGGAGGGAATCGTGTGGGTTTCAGGCCAGTGTGCAGTCAGGCAGCGGGGAGACTCGCAGCCGCTTCCAACGCCCCAGCTGGGTTTATTTTGCAAAGCAAAAGCGAGTGCACGCGGCCCAGGTACGGTGTTCGCGGGCCGGCCCGCCCGGGTCCCCGCGCTGTTGCACCGGGAGGTCGGCTCGCCGCTTCCTCGCCGCGCGCGGACGCGTCCCCGCCGTTCTTTCTGCCGCCGGTGCTTGGGTCGCCGTTGCATTTTTTTCTTTTTTCTTTCTTTCTTTCTTTTTTATTGCAATGGAAATAAAACATCCTCTGGGTGCCATGGAGAAACCGCTCCTGCAATCCTCCGCGCGCCTCGGAGGGTTAGGGCCCGGCTTCCAGCGCAGGAGCTGGAGGAGAAGGCTGCTGCGCGCCCAGCCGCCGCCGCCAAGGACTGGCTGCCGGGCGGCCCGAGAGCCGAATATTTATGTTATATTTTAAAAAATTTAAATAAATAAATAAATATATAAAGGGGTTCTCTCCTCCCCTGAAAACACAGTATAGCAGCCATCTGCTTGGGAGCAGTTGCCGGCTCTCTCCTTTGTTACGGCAGACCCATTAGTAAGAATTTGTGGGTTTATTATTATTATTTGGGGAGGGAGGAATAGATATGAGAGTGGGGTTCTGGGGTCGAGGGATGCCTTTTTGGAGGGAGGGGAGAGGAAATTCTTTTTTTTTTTTCCTGTTGTAACATCAAAGGAGACTTTGCTGGTTGCATTTAAAACAAAATGTTTTGCAACCAGATTTGAGCCTGGCTGGATGAAGGTCCCTCTTGCCAGTTGACATTTTGTTCCTTTACCAAGCTACAGCCAGCCGTTGCCCGTGCCACCCCTTAGATGGGATGGCTGTGCAAGCGCCTGGACTTGCAGGCGCCTCATTTCTCCAGCAGGCAATTGGCCTCATGGAGCCCCTTTATAATTGCAAGGGTTGTTTTTGAGGTGGGGGCAGTGGGGGGGGGTCAGGGAGTGGGGAGATGCTGGGGGTGCATTGCAAAGGTGACAGCTGCCATGTAAGCCAGGCACGTCTGCAGTGGTAAGGGGAAAAGGGGCAGGTAGGTTTGTTCAGCCTTTGCTGTCCCCTCTCCCGGCATCCCTGGGACAGCAGGAGAGAGCTCTGGCCAGAAGCACTGGTGGCAGCTGCGCATGGGGGCGAGGGGTGCCTGCTGCAACCTCCTTCCAGGCTGCGTGTGTTCCCTGCCTCTCAGCCTCTCGAGTGGCCGGGAAAGCCAGCTGACACCGGGGAGATGGCAAGGAGACAGAGCGGCAAAGAGTGGCGAGGAGAACACAGCCATCCTGCCGGTCTTCAGGGGCACAGGGAGCCCCGTGTTTGTGCAGGGGTTTAAGCAGGGATAGTGGTCCAACCAGTTCTCAGACAAGGCTACTTATTATCCCCCAGCAGCTGGCTTTTCGGTCTGTCCTGTGCAACCCCAGCAGGGAAAAGACAGGAAAGGATGCAGTGGAGGCTGCAGGGCCTGGGGATGTGCCTGTGTGTGAATGAGGCTGCAGCCTTGGATTTGGGGTGCTGTGGAGCCCCAGTTAGCAAAAACAGGTCCTGTCTGTCACAGCCCCTGCCTGGGGTTCACATTTAAGATTGAAAATGTGGAAGCAGCCGCCTGAAATGAGGCAGCATCTTTATCAGTTGGTCGGCAGCCTGCAGACCTGTGGGGCAGCAGCCTTGGGTCTCCAAGATGATGTAATTTGCAATGGCTGATGACCCGGGAAGTCAGAAGAGGCCACGAATAGCATCCGTTAACTTGGGGTGGGGTGGCGGTGGTGGGGAGAGGCTCCCTGAGGAGCAGCTAGTTTACAGACAGGGCCTGGGAGGAGAGGACTGAGGTGGAAAGAGTAGGAGACAGCTGGGAGACAGACGAAAGCCTGGGCTCCTGGTTTGTTTCAAAACGTTTGATCCAGATGGATATGGCTTTTAAAACCAGAGGACAGGGACAGCTATTAATAAAAACAAACACAACAACAGAGCGGTCATCAGGAAAGGGGAGGCGAGGTAGGCAGCAGTTGACCAGGCAGAGGAAGAGCTGTGAGCCTCAGAACCAGGCAGGGCCAGGGTGAGAGGGAAGCAAGTATTGTCCGGTCTATGGCAGGACACGAGATTTTCCCAGAGAAAACAAGATGCCCACGGTCAGTGACACGACCCCCACAGTGGGGTGGGTTTCCTGGGGGAGATGAGCGGTTTTCTGTATGAATTCATGATGTTGCAAAAACAGTGCGAGCGAGACCCAAGATTGGACTCAGAAGTTAGGCTGCGTTGACTCCATGGTTGCCTCTCAAATTAGGTTCTGCAGCTGCTGAGGGTTGTGAAGGTGGCGGTCCTCACAGTGCCTCACACACCTCCCTAGGGTCCAGCGTGTCCCCAACGGTCCACTTAGCTTTCAAGACGAGGCCTCTGGTAAATTGGATGAGGCATGGGCCCTCTTCCGCTTGCTTTCTTTTTTTGGTAGCTGGTGGGGGCAGTGATGTTGGTCTCCCTTCTGCACAGAAGGGAAGCCCATATCATTAGAAGTGTGATATGTCAGCTGCGCTGATTCCATGGGAGAATAAAAATGTGTTCATCAAAGGTGTTATGCCAGGCTGATTTTATTCATTTGTAATTCACACCTGAGAGAAAACAGCCGCGAGCATATTTTAACAACCCCTAATATTTTTAAAGGGTATTTTCCCCCCCTGACTTGAAGATTTATACAAGTGCATATTTCTTTCTTTTGGAGACAGGAGGAGGAGGTTGCTATCTGATTGTGTCTTGGCCTTGGCGATTTTTGTCTGACCATCAAAATACTTAGTAGTAGAGAATGGATCGTTTCAACAGCCTTGGGGTGAATTCAGTTGTTTTTTTCTTAGAACCACAGGGTGGGGAACAGAGTTAAAGTGTTGGGTGAGATGCCCTGGTGGTCATCTCTTTCGGGGCTGACTGAAGGCAAGGCCAGCTTTGGGAGCATTTGACAATAATGAGAAGACTGTCTCAGGTGACATGGGGCTGCAGTCGAATTACAAATCCCAGGTTCTGACTGCTACGGGCCGTTGTAGCCGAACTGAGCTCCCGTACCATCTTGCGGCTTAGAACCCGGCCTCCCCATGCATGCCACACCTCTCTTATCTTGATGGCTTTGCATTGCCGGCTGGCTGCTCCTTGTGATAAAATACTTTCCAAGATAAACTTTTTCCGTGGCGTTGGCTGCAGTGGACAGCCAGCCTGCAGCGCAGCCGGCCCGGCGTGCCGGGCGCTAGGGGGAGCTCGGTGCCCGTGTCTTGCGAGCCGGCGCCTGGCTCGGTGGCTGGGAGCCCGTCCATCAGCCGAGCGGCAGTTTACGGTGCTGCAAAATGTCTTAAGTGTGAAGTTGTAATATTGATTTTCCTGCAGAGATTCGTGCAGGACAGAATGAGAATATAAGTTTGAGAAATCTATTTTCAAGCAATCGCCATTGATTTACAAGCCCTCCTCCCTTGGCAGATGGGGGCTTTTTCTTTAATTTTCTCTTTCTCCTCCTCTCCTGTTTTTCCTTTTCCTTTTTTCTCTTTTTTTAAAACAATTAAAACGGTTAGTTTTGAATGAGTGTGCTCGCTCCGCTGTGCCTGCGCTCTTGACGTTTTGAAAATTGTCTTCTGTCGTGAAGCATGTGGGAGCCCCAGCCTGGGGTGTGGGAGGAATGTCTTATCAATGTCCCTTCCTGGGTCCTGGATAGCACAGCCAGGTCACACCCAGAATCAGCCGCTGCTTCGGGGCATCGTACACCAGCTCAGCTTGGTGAATGGAAATCCTTTTAGCTCAGATTTTATAGCACTTGGATCCTCAGTGCTTGTATTAGGTAATGTTCCCACTGTACTAAAGGAAACGGCAGTATTCCCCAAAGATACAAAATGCCAACTCAAATTACGTGTAAAACTTTGTTTGAGAGGAGTGTGTGCTGCTGGAGTCAGGCTTGGTGAGACCACTGGCCTGGCGTGGTCTCCTCCGTGGACGGCACTTAATGAGCCCGCTTCTCTCCT